TAGTCCCAAAGCACTAACTTTCCCAAGCCAGGAAGTTCCCTGTGTTTACTAAAGAAGTCAAAGCAGTAGGGGAGTCGACTGATAACATTCTGGACTTTGGATCAGGGAAAGTCCAGAATGAGAAAGAAGAACGAAAGTGGAGAAGGGTCTTTCATGTTGTGTTAGTAGTCCTCTTTCCTCCCTTATGGGTTTGTGGAGACCAACAGAAGAGCTTCCTCCCCTTCCACTTTCCCCTATCCAAGCGTCATTCTAGAAATCACAAGTTCAAGATCTTCCATAAACACCAGCTTGCATGAGAAGACCTCAGTGTCCGGTGTTCCCAGGCTGTGGCCTCTTTGATGTCCTTCCCCCACACAAGCATCACAACGTCGGTCAGGACAAATACGCCAGGGTCTATGAACCCAGGGAGTTATGAGCCATCAACAATCCCACAGGCTTAATCGGAACAGACAGGACAATGCCTTGGCTTGCCCAGAGGCGGGTTGCTTCCCACACGCCTGGCGCATAGAAGGGCCCCGCTTGTCTAGAGATGCGTCAGGGACCACATGGCAATTACTCCAGCATGATGGCCTTTGCAAGAGGCCACCGGTTCGGGGTCAGACCCACTTTTCAGGCAGTCTCAACGTCTGCATGCACAATCACTGCTGCGCATGGCAGTTGCAGAGCACTGGTTCCAGCATAGATACAAACATGTCTTTTCTCATCTTTTCCAAGGGACACAATGCAGAAGAATGACAACGTTGCTTTGCCAACATTGACAGCCTCTCATACTGCCTTGGAAGGGTGAAGATTTTCCCTCCAATATCCAATATCTATTTCAAGTGCATCTAAGGCTGGATCTATACTTCCCTATAATCCAATTTCAGAATGCGGATTAATTGCATTGAACTGGATTATATCAGTCTACACTACTGGATTGTTGTAGGTTTTTCCGGGCTATATGGCCATGTTCTAGAGGCATTTTCTCCTGACGTTTCGCCTGCATCTATGGCAAGCATCCTCAGAGGTAGTGAGGTCCTCTGAGGATGCTTGCCATAGATGCAGGTGAAACGTCAGGAGAAAATGCCTCTAGAACATGGCCATATAGCCCGGAAAAACCTACAACAATCCAGTGATTCCGGCCATGAAAACCTTCGACAAGTCTACACTACTCTATAATCCAGATCAATGCAGTTAATTCTGAACTGGATCACAGGGCAGTGTAGATCCAGCATAAATTAAGTGTCATTGGCACACCTTATGGCAATGAGTTCCACAAGATAATGACCCACTGTGTGAATTATCCCCCTTTTTTCTGTCTTATGGGCACTTTCTCCCTCTTCCCAATGATGAATCTCTATCATATTCCAGCACAAGAAAGACTCAGACTGATCACAGTATGACCTTTAAGGGTTGTAATTGAGAAAGTATAATCTGTGCATTTGACAACATGGCATATAGTAAGACTTGCACATCTGTAAGTTTGATTAGTCACAGATTTATATATATATATATATATATATATATATATATATATATATATATATATCATCAAATGCAAGAAATTGAACCCTTTCCCTTTGACGAGGTCCATGGGGAGTCAAGGAAAATTTAATAGTGATTTTTAAATAGTTTCTGGAATGTCTGTACGAATCTTTGATGTCTGGGTGCTGACTGTGGAAACTGACTCTACCAGATGATCAGAGAAGATATGAACAATTCTACCTGTGGCATCAGACAAGGAAGCAAAAAAAGACGTCCATGCATGCAATCTTGGGAGACGTCCTGAGGCGTCATGTGGATTTCGCCTCATTTGCAAGCAGAGGTGCTTCCAGACAGAGGAAACCCAGAGCGACAAATCTAGGAGGCACCCAGGATCTATCCCACCTTTTCCTCCTTAAGGAAGCTGGAGGATTAGAAGTTGTCATCTCGAGGTTCATCTATACCAGTGTTTCTCAACCTGGGGGTTGGGACTGCTGGGGAGGGGGTCATGAGGGGAGTGTCAGATGGGTTGCCAAAGACCATTAGAAAACACAATATTTTCTGTTGGTCATGGGGCTTCTGTGTGGGAAATGTTGCCCAATTCTATCGTTAGTGGGGTTCAGAATGCTCTTTGATTGTAGATGAACTATAAATCCCAACAACTAGGCAAAGGTTGTCCCCTGACATTAAGTCCAGTCATGTCTGACTCTGTGGTGTGGTGCTCATCTCCATTTCTAAGCCGAAGAGCCAGTGTTGACCATAGACACCTCCAAGGTCATGTGGCCGGCAAGACTGCATGGAGCACCATTACCTTCCAGCTGGACCGGTAGCTATTGATCTACTCACATTTGCATGTTTTCAAACTGCTAGGTTGGCAGAAGCTATGGCTAGCAGTGGAAGCTCACGCCGCTCCCTGGAATCAAACCTACGACCTTTCGGTCAACAAGCTCAGCAGCGCAGTACATTAACCCACCTCGCCACTGGGGGCTCCCAACAACTACAACTCCCAAATGTCAATATCTATTTTCCCCAAACTCCACCAGTGTTCACATTTTGACATATTAAATATCCATGCCAAGTTTGGTCCAGATCCATCATTGTTTGAGTCCACAGTGCTCTCTGGTGAACTACAACTCCAAAACTCAAGGTCAATGGCCACTAAGCCATTCCAGTATTTTCTGTTGGTGATGGGATTTTTGTGTGCCAAGTTTGGTTCAATTCCATCGTTGATGGGTTCAGAATGCTCTTTGGTTGTAGGTGAACTATAAATTCCAGCTACTACAACTCCCAAATGACAAGTTTGGCCCAATTCTATCACAAATGACAAGTATAGCCCAGTTCTATCACTGGTGGGGTTCAGAATGCTCTTTGATTGTAGGCGAACAATAAATCCCAGCAACTACAACTCCCAAATGTCAAGGTCAATTTTCCCCAAACTCCACCAGTGTTCACATTCTGTGTGCCAAGTTTGGTTCAATTCCATCGTTGATAGGTTCAGAATGCTCTTTGGTTGTAGGTGAACTATAAATTACAGCTACTACAACTCCCAAATGACAAAATCAATCCCTCCAATCTCACCAGTATTCAAATTTGGGTATCTGTGCCCAGTTTGGTCCAGTGAATGAAAACACATCCTGCATATCAAATATTTACAATATGATTCATAACAGTAGCAAAATGACAGTTATGCAGTAGCAACAAAAATAATGTTATGGTTGAGGGTCATCACAACATGAGGAACTGTATTAAGGGGTCACAGCATTGGGAAGGTTGAAAAACACTGATCTACACTGTAGAATGAATGTAGTTTGACATCACTTTAACTGCTGTAGCTCGGTGCTATAGAATCAGCGGAGTTAGCTTGACAAGGTCTTGAGCCTTCCCTGACCAAAAGTGTTGGTGCTTCACTAAACGACCAATCAAAGTGTTTCCATAGCATTGTACCAACCTATAGCCATGTCAAGAGTACAATCCTACAAGCATGTTTCCCGTGCTGCAGTGTGATGGGAATTAGATACCACAAAGTATGACTGGGTGGTTCTGGGATTTATCATCCTCAAAGGCCAGTTGAGGGATGATGGGATATAGAATCCCTAAGGTATGTTTCCCAAGCACATAGATGGATGATTCTGTGATCTGGCATCCTCAAAGTGGGTCAGGCTGTGGGATGATGGGAAGTAGACTCCCCAAAGTATTATTCCCAAGCCCATGGCTGGGTTGTTCTGGAACCTCAGTGAGCCAGGCTGTGGGATGATGGGAAGTAGAGTCCACAAAGTATGACCATAGTTGGGTGATTCTGGGATTGGGGATGCTAAATGTGGACCAGGTTGTGGAATGATGAGAAGTAGACTCACTAAAATATGTTTCCCAAGACCATAGATAGACGATTCTGTGATTTGGGGTCTTCAAAGTGGGTCAGGCTGTGGGATGATGGGAAATAGAGTCCCGAAAGTATTATTCCTAAAGCTATAGCTGGGCGATTCTGGGATCTGGGGTGCTAAAAGTGGCCTGGGCTGTGGGCTGATGGGATATAGAGTCCTCAAGGTATGATTCCCAAGCCCAAAGTTAGGTTATTCTGGGACTTGGGATGCTAAAAGTGGGCTGGGCTGTGGGATGATGGGGTATAGAGTCCCCAAGGTATGATTCCCAAGCCCATTGCCTGGTTATTCTGAGACTAAATGTGGGCCGGGCTGTGGGCTGATGGGATACAGAGTCCTCAAGGTATGATTCCCAAGACAATAGCTGGGTGATTCTGGGACTTGGGATGCCAAAAGTGGACTGGGTTGTGGGATGATGGGATACAGAGTCCTCAAGGTATGTTTCCCAAGCCCATAGCCGGGTGATTCTGAGACTTGGGATGCTAAAAGTGGGCTGGTCTGTGGGATGATGGGAAATAGAGTCCCCAAAGTAGGATTCCTAAGACAATGGTTGGGTGAATCTGGGACTTGGGATGCTAAAAGTGGGTCAGGCTGTGGAATGATGGGATATAGAGTCCCCAAGGAATGATTCCCAAGCACATAGCTGGGTGATTGTGGGACTTGAGGTACTAAAAGTGGGTCAGGCTATGAAGTGATGGGATATAGAGTCCTCAAAGTATGATTCCCAAGCACATAGCTGGGTGATTCTGGGACTTGGGATGCTAAAAGTGGGTCAGGCTGCAGGATGATGGGATATAGTCCCCAAGGAATGATTCCCAAGCACATAGCTGGGTGATTGTGGGACTTGGGATGCTAAAAGTGGGTCAGGCTGTGAGGTGATGGGGTACAGAGTCACCAAGGTATGATTCCCAAGCCCATAGCTGGGTGATTCTGAGACTTGGGATGCTAATAGTGGGCCAGGCTGTGGGATGATGGGATATAGAATCCCCAAGGGATGATTCCCAAGCACATAGCTAGGTGATTCTGGGACTTGAGATGCTAAAAGTGGGTCAGGCTGCAGGATGATGGGAAATAGAGTCCCCAAAGCAATTTTCCGAAGCCAGGGAACACTTGACAGAGCGGAAGAGTCCCCAAAGGATGTCACTCAGGGCTGTTTCTGACCTGCTTGAAGTCGGCGGTGAGGGTGACGAGGGTGCCGTCGCCTTTGCGGAGCTCAAGGGTGACGCAGTCGGCGCCGGAGTCGGCTTGCAGGGTCTCCTCGGTCACCTCTCCGTCGGGGAGACGGACGCGGACGCGCAGCTCGGACGGCAGCGCAGCGGGGGCGGCCCCTCCATGGGGAAAGCACAGCAAGAAGGGGGCCAAGAGGACCCACAGGGCCGGGCTTCTCCTTGGGCGATGCATCCCTCCCTCTTCACGCTGCTGCGCCTTTTCCCAACGCAGTTTCGAAGTTTGCAAACTTTGGTAAACTTTTCCAAACTTTTGCAAACTTCTGCAAACTTTTCCAAACTTTTCCCCGAAGTTTGCAAGCTTTTTCCTGCAAGTTCCTCCCAGTCCAGGGACCCGTTCCGAACCTCTCCCCAGTCCCTCGTGTCCCTCTGTTTTCCACCCACAGCTCGTCCTCAGGCGGCTCGAAAGCAAGGACGGCCCAAAGAGGAATGGGGAGTTTTGCTGCCCTCCCGGTTTGCTCGTGGAAAGGCGATCCTGGCTGGGTCTCCAGGTCCTCCCTCCCCCTCCTCCTCCTCGCGGGCTGCTGCTTTTTCTCTCTCTCTCTGCCTTGGCTCCTTTTTTCATTCAGTGGCCCCGTCACTTCCTTCACACACACACGCACTCACACCCCTCCTGGAGCCCTGGGACCGGCCTTAAAGAGACAGGAGCAGCCAAAGCCAGCGGGCGGGGAAAAGGAAAGCCAGGGGAGAAGGCAGGAGAGGGGCCCAGGGCACGAGGAAGTGGAAGTGGGCATCACTCAAGGGAGAAGGGAGCCAGGAGGAAGAGGACAGGCAGTCAGACTCAGGGCCCCTGCAAAGAGAGGGGGATCCCATTGCACTTTTCCAAGCCCCCTTCCTTCCTTCCTTCCTTCCTTCCTTCCTTCCTTCCTTCCTTTCTTCCTTCCTTCCTTCCTTCCCTTTTTTTTTTTTTTCTTCCTTCCTCCCTCCTCCCTCCTCCTCCTCCTCCCTTCCTTTCTTCCTTTTCTCTTTCCTTCCTTTCCTTTCTCTTCTTCTTTTTCTTCCCTTCCTTTTTCTTTCCTTCCTTCCCTTTTCCTTCCTCCTTTCCTTCCTTCCCTTCCTTCTTTTTCCTTCCTTTCTTTCCTTCTTCCTTTTCTTTCCTTTCTCCTTCTTCCTCCTCTTCCTTCCTTCTTTTTTCTTCCCTCCTTCTTTTCCTTCCTTTCATCCATCTTTTCTTCTTCTTTTTCTCTTCCCTCCCCTTCCTTACTTCTTTTCCTTTTCTTCTTCCTTACTGTCTTTACTTCTGCCAGCTTGCCTCCTTCCTTTCCCCTTCCTCGCTTCGTTCTTCCTCCTTCTTTCCTTTCCCTTTCCTTCCTTTCTCTTTTCTTCTGCCAGCTTGCCTTCTCCCTTTCCTCACCCCTCCTTCCTTTCCCTTTCCTTCCATTCAACCTTTTCTTCTGCCTTTTTCTCTTCCCTTCCCTTCCCCTTCCCTTTCCTTTCATTCTTTACTATCTTTTCCTCTGCCAACTTGCCTCCTTCCATTCCCTTCCTTTTTCCTTTCCTTTCCTTCCTTTTCTCTTTTCCTTCTCTTTTCCTCCTTTCCCCTTCCTCTCTTTCCTCCTTCTTTCCTTTCCTTTCCTTTCCTCCTTTCCCTTTCCTTTCCTTTCCTTTCCTTTCCTTTCCTTTCCTTCCTTCTTCTCTCTTTTCCCCTTCTCCTCCTTTCCCTCTTCCTTCCTTCCTTCCTCCTTTCCTTCCTTCCTTCCCCCTTTCTTTCATTCTCTTTTCTTCTCCTCTTCCTCTCTCTTCCCTTCCTCCTCTTCTTTTTCTTCCATTCCTTCCTTTCCTTCCTTCTTCCCTTTTCTTCCTTCCTTCTTCCTTCTTCCTTCCTTTTCTTTCCTTCTCCTCCCCTTTTTTTTCTCTTTCTCTTCCCTTCCTTCTCCTTTCCTTCCCCTCCTTTCCTTCTTTTCCTTTCCTTCTTTCTCTTCTTTTCTTCTCCAACTTCCTTTCCCTTCCTTTCCTCTTTTCTTCCTTTCCTCCTTCCTTTTTTTTTTCCCCTTCCTTTCCCTCCCTTCCCTCTCTCTCCCTCCCTTTTCTCCTTCCTTCTTTCTCTTCTTTCCTTCCTCCTTCTTCCTTCCTTCCTCTCCTCCTTTCTTCATCCCCCTCCTTTCTTTCCCTCCTTCCTTTCCTCTCTTGCTTCCTTCCAACCATTTTCCTTCTTCCTTTCTCTCTCTTTTCTTTATGTTAATGCACTTAGAAACTTTTAATGACTGCCACACTTCTATAGCCACCTATTCAACCCAACACAGCTTTATATATAAAATCTAAGTGTGATTCTGCCATTTGATATATGGGATGATAACTTTACTACCCTGTTGTAGATCATGGGACTTGAGCATCCCCAGATGGAGGCAACATGGGACCAAACATCAGTGGATTGGAAGGGCCTTACTCCCCCAATGAGGGTATAGTCAGGATATAGAGGTGTCCCTCCACATTTGTGGTTTTGACAACATGAGGCACCAAAAAGCCCAATGAATGGGTCCTAAAGCAAACCCAGGTTTGAACTCTCCCTAGAAGCCAAGATGACTAAACGGCAGCTGCTATGCTTTGAATATCTCATGAGACGATATGACTCATTGGAAAGGAGAATAAAGGGGAAAGGCAGTCCGAAAAGAGGAAGTTTGCCTTCCAGATGGATGCATTCAACCAGGGCAGCCACAGACCTGCGTTTGCAAGGCCTGTTGATGGCAGTATCCTTCTTGGAGGTCTCTCATTCAATGGGTCACCATAAGCTGAGGTCAACATGATAGCAAATGGCAACACTTGAGAGCCCTAGGTTTCTCCAGGCATCAACTTACTTGGCAGGATATTCAGGATATTTTGTTGCATGATGAACATATGGAACTCATCACGAGAAGGCCTTGGAACAATTACTTTGGTGCACCACAACGTTAAAAGAGTTTGGAGTTTCCACACCAATTAAGTTGCTTGGCAGGAGATTCAGGACAGAGAAGAAAAGAGCTCTTCCTTTCTTGACATATGGGACTCATTGCCACCAGACCTTTGAAAATAATATTTTGGACTTCTTAAGGGTGCGTCTACACTGAAGAACTAATTCAGTTTGACACCACTTGAATTGGACATGGTTCAGTGCTGTGGAATCATGGGAGTTGTGGTTTTATGAAGTCTGTAACCTTGTAATGTGTAGATTAACCCAATTATTTATAGGAGGCAAAACCTTCGTATATACCATATGGTAATTTCCCAGGAGAGGGTAAAACATAATTTCTTTGCATTCGCAGAACTGTTTCCAAAGTTGGATTCCTCCAACGCTTTGAGGGCGGATTGCTTATCCTTCGCATCCTGTACTGAAGAATATAGTTATTCTCATCCTTAATGATATAGGAGCCCAAAAGGGCCTCATTCTCGTTCTGTTTGGAGCAAGGCACAATTTTCTTCCACAAAATTAAACCAGCCACGTGCTCCCCACCCACCCCTTTCCTGTTTACACCCATTCGACTGATTCGTTTGAAGAGATAGGAGCCAGAACAAAAAGCAACAGGAGAGAAGTAGAGCCAGGATCCTTTGTTTTGGAGTGATTTTCTCATTCGAGGAAGGAAGTTGCATCTGTGGAAAAGTCAGGCTCAGTGGGAGAACACATGCTCCATGCCACATAGGCAGATTTTCCCATTTTTTTGTTCCACGTTCAAGACTTTTTCAGCCACCGCGGCCACTGATTTGGAGCATTAGACTTCCAAATCACCAAAGCTGGGATTTGTAGTTTGGAGAGGGATTTAGAACTCTCCAGTACTGTATTGTCGAAGGCTTTCATGGCCGGAATCACTGGTTTGTTGTAGGTTTTTTTGGGCCGCATGGCCATATTCTAGAGGCGTTTTGCCTGCATCTATGGCAAGCATCCTCAGAGCTACCTCTGAAGATGCTTGCCATAGATGCAGGCGAAACATCAGGAAAGAATGCCTCTAGAACATGGCCATATATCCCAAAAAACCCCTACAACAACCAGTACTGTTTCGAACTAAGGCAGAGGGTTGCAAAGATTTGTCTTCACTGAGGAGTGAACTCAGTTTGATGCCACTCAATGCTCTGGAATCCTGGGATTTGTAGTTTGGTGAGGTACTCACACTCATTGGCACAGAAGGCTCAAGACCTTGTCAAATTATAACTCCCATGATTCCATAACACAGAGTTAAAGTGGCATCAAACTAAATTTTATGGTGTAGAGATGCACCCAAAGTCCCTTCTTAACATCCCAGCAATCCATAGGATGGATCTACAGCAAATAAAGCAGTATCAAGCTGCTAAATAGCTATATAATGTGTACACACACACACACACACACACACTGTAAGTATCTCTGGATGTAAAATGCAATTATTATTATTATTATTATTATTATTATTATTATTATTATTATTTCCCAAGACTGAAAAACTAGCTTTATGACAGTCAGGAAACTATCAGGAAGAATGATGTTTGAAAGGTGAACTCTTCTGCATCAAAGACACAAAGAGATTATCTATCTATCTATCTGTCTGTCTGTCTGTCTATCTGTCTATCTATTTAGTAGAAGGATATTCACCAGAAATAGGTCTCCATCATGAGAGCAGCCCGCCTTCCATTTAGTTTGAGTCTTTTTGGTCAATTGTACACAATCCCCTAGTAGTCTGACCTTTAAAGGAGCTCTCCAAAGTGCTGATCCTTCAATTGGCTGTAAGATTGTGTGACTTGTAGTCCCCCAAGAATGTATCTTTTTTTGAGCTCTGATAGTCAGTTTGTTTAATTTTTGCTCATGCTCTCTCCATCCCCTTCACTGCAGGATATTGACAAGTTGAATTGTATCCAGAGAAGATGACCCAAGATCTGGAAACCAAGCCTTAGGAGGAACAACTTGGGGACTTGCATATGTTTGGCTTTAAGAAGCAAAGACTGAGAGGTGACATGACAGCTATCCTTAAACATCTGGAGATGATGGAGCCAGCTTATTTTCTCCTCCAGAGACTTGGACACAAAGTGGATTCAAATGACAAGAAGGGTGAATCCATTGAGACATTAGGAGCAACTTCCTTCCTATATGTAAAGTAGATTGACACTTTATTTATATTTATTTATTTACCGTATTTATATATTGCCTTTCTCAGCCCGAAGGCGACTCAAGGCAGTTTACAATCGGCACAATTTGATGCCTCTAACAAAATAAAATACAATTTAAAAACATTTAGCAAATAATATAAAAACCATACAAATCCGATAAAAATCCTCAGTGTCTCCTTACTAAAATCATTTTCCAACTCACGTCGTCCTGTCATTCCATAGATCTATATTTGCCTGTTACACTGCATTTGCAAATGCTTGCTCAAAAAGTCAGGTTTTAACTTTCTAATGAAATGTTAGGCAGGAGGGGGTCAATCTAATATCCCTAAGGAGGGCGTTCCACAGCTGAGAGGCCACCACTGAAAAGGCCCTGTCTCTCATCCCCACAAAGGAGGTGGGCAGGACCTTCCCAGACAATTTTAGAGTCCTAGATGGTTCATAAGGAGAGATATGTTCAGACAGGTAAGCTGGGCTGGAACAATTTAGAAGGTGGTGGAAAACCTTAAACTGAGGTTGGATGGGAACCTTTCAGGAATGCTTTAATTCTGTATTCTTG